GCCCGGCGGGAGGTGGGTGCTGGGGGCCACCTCCGCAGACCTGCTGTCCCCAGGGCCTGGGCCCCCAGGGGGCCCGGGGCTCCGCCACGGGTCAGCCGACTCGCTGGTGAGTTGAGAAATCACTTCCCCTCTTGGGGCAGCTGGGAGGGGAGGGACGGCTGAAGTCTGGTCAGCCGGAGAGGGTCAGGTGGTAACAGCACTCAGCAGAATGACAGGGGGTCCTGTTTACGGAGCACCCCGCTAGACCGGCCCCCAAGCCTGGTCACTCTCAGATGAGTCTGCTTTTACCCATTTTTCAGTTTGACAAACTGAGGCTCCAGTGGTTGCTGTGTGCCCAAGACCACACAGTTTGTGGGCCTCGGAACCAGAGTGGACCCCCAGATGTTGTGGTTCCAGAGCCTGGCCAGAGCCGCTAGCCCCCACAACCTTGGGCATGAGGGTCCCCGCTGTGAGGGGGTGCCAGGGGTGACTCACATTGCGAGCTGTGTTTTGTGTCTGCCCTTCCCCCTGCCAGATGGGTCTTACTCTCCTCAGGTGGCACATGAGGAAACAGGGGCCAGGGAAGGTGCAGAGACTGCCCAGGGTGGTGCTGGACTCCGGGCCTACTGCTCCTCCCATGTGCCCAGGGAAGCTGGGCTTCAGCATGTGCCCTGCTGTCCTCAGTGGGCGCTACCCTCCTCCACAGGCTTTCCAGTGTGGATCAGTCCCAGGGCTGCCATGAGCATCTGGCAACCCTAAGGCGGGCATACACTGTGGGTAACCCCAGCAAAGCAGGGCCCAAGAGGCTGTATCTTCCATGACACCCCATTCCGCTAGAACCACCCTCCTGGAGAACCTGGAGCCAGAGTGGTGGGAGAGCAGTCAGCAGACCCTCGGGCCTGGGGAAGCCCTGGGTATGGTCCTTTAGCCTGTGAAAGCGGGGCCCCAGTGTCTCACCCCTAGAGTTCTTATAGGACCCCATGGGTGAGGGCTGTGGTGGGTTCAGCTCAACACCTGGCCAGTGAGGGCATTGTCAGCACCGTCTGCTTTCAGAGTAGCCCAGCAGGGCAGTTGGGACGGGTGAAAACTCTACTGAAGGAGGTGTGCTGGTCTGGTGGCGTGTGCAAAGGGCCTGGGGCCTGTGTCCACTCACTCCAGGAGCCCTGTAATAGCCTTTTCCTCCTGGGCTTCTCTTTCCTCTGCTTCTGCTGCTGTGGGCTCCTTCCACCCAGATCATCCCAGGAGAGAAAGTCCAGCTGCCCATGATGAAGCCCCAGGTGAGTTGGAGGGACCAAACATACCAGAGTGCAGGTGCCCCGACCCCAGCAGGTGATGGCGGGGGGGTGGGCAGAATGGTCAGGAGGCAGCCCTTGTGGAGAGTGCGGGATTCAGGGTGCGGGCAAGATCATCCAGGTGAAGCACCTAGCAGATAGTGAGCAGGTAAATGATGGACAGGGGGCAGCAGGCTGTCAAGCTGCTGTCAAGGGGAAGCCTTTGCTTCCGCCACGCCATTTAGACCTGTTAGATAAAGAGCCATTGGCCCCATTGTACAGATGGGGAGACTGAGGCCCTGAATGGCTAAACACCTGGCCCCGGGTTGCCACAGCTGGTTGGAGATGGAGTCACCTGTGCTCTTGAGTGAGTCCCTCCCTCTAGAGGGGGTTGGGCTGTTGCCCAGAGGACCTGCCCAATTCCCTCAGATTGAGCTGAGGGGACCCTGAGTCTGTGGCCCGGAGGACAGACAACGGTGGTAGTTTCTCCTGCCAGCCTTGCCCAAGGTGCCCACTGACTGGCGTCAGGGAAAAGTGCCTGACAGTCCCCTGGTAGCCAACTCCTCCTTTTCCCTGGCTGGGCCGGGACATCCAGTCCAGTACCAGTGACTGGGATGGGGCAGGCCCGTGTCCCCTGGGGGTTCAGCGGGGTGGGGGCAGGATGGGGGAATTTGCATGCGGTCTTGGGGATATGGTGGGTGGGGATGGTCTCTGCGGCATGTCCACCCCTCCCCTGAACATAGCTTTGGCGTACAGACAGAGAGGAGACATTTTAGGGTTCTCCAGTGTGAGGGGACACAGCTCCTCACCTCAGTGGGCACCAGGCTGTTGGAGGAGATATAGCACTTGTCCCCGAAGAGTCCTGGGGCTATTGGAGATGTCCTGTCCTGGGGACCCTCCCCAAACAATGTGGGGGGCAGAAAAAGACCTCCAACAAGGAACCTCCAAATAAGCAGATTCCCATAGAGCTGAGAGGGTGGGAGTCCAGCACACCCACCCCGCTCCCTTTTGTAGAAGCTGCTAGCTGACCCCACCCTCTCCCTGGGCTCAGGCCTTTACCTGCAGACTTGGCTTGGCCTGGGGAGGGCAGCAGCAGTGGGCAGCTGCTGGGGTACATGGCTGTGGGGTGTCAGCTAGGCTTGAGGGGTGCTCTGTGTGTGGGAGAGGCAGTAGCCCCTGGACCCAGCTGGATGTGGGGGTATTGGGAACCTGAAGAGTCCTGAGGCAGCAGAAAGACCTGGGTAGGTGAGGTTAGCTTGTGGGAATCCCCCGCCCCCCCTTTTTTTAAAGATTGATTTATTTATGCACACAAGAATGGGGGTGTGTATGGCCAGAGGTGTGTGTGTGGGGGGTGAGGATTCAGAGACAGAGTGGAGAGCAGAACAGGCAGGTTGACAAATGAGGGGAGCATGGGTGAGACTGGAGGGGTCTGCCGTGCCATGTGGGTCACCTCCCTGGTGCTGCAATCTGCAGATAGCTTCACCGTGCTGTGCCTTAACCTGTGGCACCACGGGGAGACCTGCTGGGTGGCTCTTTGGGGGAAGGAGTGAGTTTTGCAAGCAGCCAGGGATTTGGCTGCAGGCTGGGTTCACTGCTTCCATGGGGTGAAAAGGTGATCACTTAGCATCTCTAGCAGGAGATGGAGGGGAAGAAGCCTCAAGTTCCTTACTGTGAGCCGTTGTTCTGCAACCATCCCAGGCTGGGGAGGCGCACGTCAGTTCTCGCAGATGAAAAGTTAATTTTGGGGCCTTCGGGGGATTTTGGCAGGGCTTTAATGCTGAACCAGGGGACAGACCAGCTTCCTCTCAGTATTTCTCCCGGGGTCTCCTCTCTCCTAGTCCGGCCTCAGTGATGATGCCCTTATACACCCTAGTCATGGGTGTCCCTAATTACATGTACGCATGTCTGTGCTCTCTGGGCCCAGGTGTGCATAATTACAGGTGTGTGTGACCAGAGGTGCTGGCCGTAGATGCTAATGTGAGGGGGGAAGAAGGGAGAGGTGAGGCTATGGGGAGAAGCCTGATAAGCACATTTACCCTGCAACCATCTTCCAGGTCCCTGCCCTGGAGCCCAGAGTCAGACGACCCGGGAATGGGCTGGACCAAAGTGTCCCCAGTGTGGCAGACATCAGCAGTCAGTGGGGAATAAATGTAGGGAAAATCCAGACTCCCAGGCCCATCTCAGATCTGGTCCTGGGATCCAGGAATCTGGTTTTGGATCCTCCCTGGTGATGCTGAGAGGCGGGGAGGTTGGGGGTCCCAGTGTGTGGCCCAAGGAACACAGGCTGTGGGGGCCGCCCAGGGCGGACACCTGGCAGCAATCAGGAACACAGACCAGACAGGATGAGGGTGGCGTGGGGGAGGCACCACCGGACCTCGTCACCACCTCGGCTGGACGACTTCCTTAGACAGCTGGACAGACCGCTGGTCTGGCCATTGTCCCGGGCCCAGAAAGTGTACACAAAGGTACAGGCAGGGCCCCTGTCTGGTCAGTGTCTGGTGCCCTTGGGTTTCTCCCCATCTCTGAGCCTTGTTCTAACTGAAGTGGGAGTTTAGCCTGTGTGAAGTGCTGAGCACCGACTCTGGGCCTGGAAGAGTTCCCTCAAGGTTGGCCATCCTGTGCTGTTACTCTAGATGCAGGAACTGGAGAAGGAAGCCTCAACCCCAGCCCTCCTCCCCCTCCCCCGCTGCCTGCTTAATGGAGAATCCAGGCGCTGGTTCTCCTGTTTCTCTGCCAGGACATGTGATAACTCCTGTCCAAGTGGCTCCAGCAAGCCTGGGGCTGGTGGCGCTGGGGGGAAATTGAACCATGGTGGCAGGAATTGGGGGCCCTTCCCCAAGTGTGAGCAGAAGCCTTCTTTCCTGGAGGGGGTGCTGGTGATAGGACCTCCCTTCTCCACACCTGCCCAGCTAATCCCCCCCACTTCAGCCCAGGCTTCTGCCCCCAAAGCGAAGTAGATTCCTACCAGTCCCTGCCCAGCCACCTGGCGCCAGCTCCCAGCTCCCGGCCAGCAGCTGCCCTGGTGCTCAGCTGGTTCTGCCCAGCCAGGCCCCTTTGTTCTAGCCCAGGCCCCTCCCTGCTGCCTGGGGTGGGGACGTGGGAGAGCCTCCCTGCTGGGGTGACCTGCCCTGGCCACCTAGTGGGTCTGCTCATCCAGAAAAAACGGGAGAAGTGTTGAGATCTGTGCCCCTGGGATCTAAGTCCGACCCAGGAAACAAAGATGAGTGGGGGCCAGGAGAAACCCAAGAAGGCTTCACAGAGGGGGTGGCGGGAGGGCGGTATCACTGCCACTGAGCCTGGGGCCTGCAGCGAAATTAGGTGGTGGGAGGGAGGAACCCAGCAAGGTGAGACCCCTGGCTGGAGGAGGCCCCTCTTGAAGGGGATGAGGAGGTCTGGAGGGAGGGTCTCCAGCCCGAGGTGTTTGCTTCTCTCCAAGCGGCATCAGTAACAGCACTAGAGTGTGCCAGCATAGTTTACACGCCCCATCGCTGAATTCATCCAGCAGTCCTGGGAGGCAGGTTCTCGCCGCTGCGTTGTACAGGGGAAGCCGAAGCTCGGAGAGGGCAGGAACTTGGTTCAGGCCACACGGCTGCAAAGGGGCAGAGCTGGGATTCTGACGGGCGGCCCAGCAACAGAGCCTTCCCCCCTCAGAGAACACCAGCTCAAAACCTGGTCTAGGAGGACCTGCCCCCGGGTTCTCAGAGATGTCTAAGAGGGGATGGGGAGGGCTGTTTCCAGCAAGTTCTACTGCAGAGGTGAACCCACACTGCAGAACCCGAGAGGCCCCTTGCTAAAAAGTCGTACAGCTGCTCTGGCCAGAGGTCCGGGCTTCGGATTGGCGCCCGTTCCTGCCCCGTTCTCTCTGGTTCTCACGGCGGTGGAAGAAACCCTGGCTCAGCACGAGGGACTGCTGGGATTGCCCACCCTGTGCCTGTCCCTGGGTTAGTGTTCAGCACTGGCCAGAGTTCTGGAGTTGAGCATTTGGGTCAGATCCTTCCCTCCATCGCTGGGGCACCTTGTAGCCAGCCCCAGAGTCCCACATGCCAGGTGCAGGTACCTCTGTTCTAGGTGCTTCCTTCCGTGTCAGTCAGTGACCAGGTAGCTGGAGCCCCGGGGAGGACAGGGGCGACCTGTGCCCTGCGCTATCATCAACCAGCTGAACCACCTGAAGCTGGTTGTCTGTAGTGGGGTGACTTGAGCTGTCACTCGCTCCTGTCACCTGCCTGTGTCTTCCATTCCCACCGTCCACTCCCTCTGTCTCTAGACAACCTTTTAGTGCTCACGGTGGCCACGCAGGAGACGGAAGGCTTCCGGCGTTTCAAGCGCTCAGCCCAGTTCTTCAACTACAAGGTTCAGGTAAGAGGCTCACTGAGGGAGGGGCTGGAGGCGGGTTCCAGGAGCAGATGTCTGTCCTTTCCCAACTCTCGTGGGGCCTCAGGGAAAGCTTCTCAAAGTCTGAAAGATGAAGCTGCATTCGGACAAGCAAGAGAGGAGCAGAAGGAGATGGGTGGGGGGCGGGGAGACCTGAGACCTAGGTGGAGGTGTTCAGGGCTTACTGCTCACGAGACTCACCTGGGAGTGTGGCTGGTTTAAAAGACCTGGGAGTCAGCGTCGACCCAGCTCCCCACAGGGGATTTTGGCAGGGCCATACCATGGTTGGAAGCTCTTGCCTGCATAAACACTGCTCTAAAGAAACTCAGGCTACTGCCCCATCTGCCTCTGTATGAGGCCATAGGGCTGAGGCCTACAGGAAGCCATTTCTCCATTTAGCTGAGTGTGTTGAATGGTCCTTGTGTCAGAAGGAGTGGAAGGCATTGAGGGTACAATGATGGACAAGACCAGCCATGTCACTGCCCACCTCGCTTAGAATCTGGTGGCATGAAGCCAGAAGGAGGCGTTAGCTCCCCTGAGTGAAGGTTCAAGTGGAGGACTGTTTCGGGCGTGGCTGCATCTAGGTGTTCATCGTTCCAGCTCTAGGCCCTGTTTGTTTTTACTTGCAAGTATGTTCTCTCTACGGGGTAACCAGTATGGGTGATGTCCCATCTGGGGATCACATGCCCCGGCGCGTCAACGTCAGCAAAACAAATAGCCTTTCCTTCGTTTTAACAGAGTATTCCCAGGGAAGATGGATTGGTCTGCGGGGTGGGGGGTGGGGGCCTGAGGATCAGCATTCTGAGTGGCTAGGCATGTGCAGGTGACTTCCAAGAGTCCTGATCCTCACACACCTTGTAGGATTTTCCCATGGCAGGGCTGGGGGTGCTGGGTAGACAGAAGCCAAGATGTTCACTGCTTGGGCAGGGGTGGAAGTGGGGTAGGCAACATAGTTCTTCACCAAAAACCCGCATCACGGGACCTTTCTCTGCAGTCCCTGGGCCTGGGGCAGGACTGGGATGGGAAGAAGGAGACGTCGGCAGGTGGAGGCCTGAAGGTACGGCTGCTGAAGAAAGCGCTAGAGAAACACGCGGACGAGAAGAACCTAGTCATTCTCTTCACAGACAGGTAGGTGGTTGGGGCTTCCTTGGTGGTGCCTCTTGGCTGAGAGAATATTCTAAAAGGAGGCCCTCTCTGGACATTGGGGATCACTAGAGCCAAGATTGCCTGCAGTTTTCAGGGGTGTGTGAACCCCAGGAGAGACCCTCTAGGGTGGCCCACTTGTATTCCTGGTGAAAAGATGGCTGGGGACTTCCCTGGTGGCACAAAGGGTTATCGCGCAGCACTAGGAGACTATCGGCAGCCGCTGCGGCAAGAGTTCGATCCCCGGCCAGGGAGTGACCCACAGAGCGAGGCAGACCTCTCCTGACCCACCCACTGCTCCCCTCAGCAGTGCGTTTCAGTAGTTCCACCTGTTCTTCTCCCCACTCTGTCTCTGGAGGATCCGCTCATCCCCCCGCACCTCTGCCTTGTACCCCATCCTTGTCGTCATAAATAAATAAATCTAAAAAAAAAAAGAGGGCCAGGGGTCTGCCCAGGTGTGGTTAACCCTGTCTTGAGCTGAGAAGGGCACCAGATTCGGGGACCCTCTCTCTGCCCAGGATGGCAGTAGAGACATGGCGGGCAGGGCCGGAGACCCAACCTGTGGTCATTCCCAGCGCTCACCCCCACCCACCCCTGCCCGGCCCCTCCTTCCTCACCCCTGCTCCGGCTTCTGCATCTGTCTGCAGCTACGATGTGGTGTTCGCTTCTGGGCCCCGAGAGCTCCTGAGGAAGTTCCGGCAGGCCAGGAGCCAGGTGGTCTTCTCGGCGGAGGGGCTCATCTACCCAGACCGCAGGCTGGAGGCCAAGTACCCAGTGGTAGCCGACGGCAAGCGGTTCCTGGGCTCGGGAGGTGAGGCCCGCGCGGAGCGTGTGGGGCGGGGCCAGCTCCCTCCTCTGCCTTCACGAGGACCTGCTTGCTGGACACCCACGAGCTCTCAGTTCCCACGCACAGGAAGTCCACGTGGCCCTTGTACCCCGCCCTGCTCATCTCACCACCATCCACGCCTCTGCAGGCAGAGCCAGGCCCTGTGCCCACCTTGGCTCTCGCCCTCCCTGGCACACGCAAGCGCGGCTCCCACCTCAGGTCCCAACTCAGGACTGCTCCGCCTCCTGCCTGCTCTGCCAGCCTCTCCTCCTTCCAGCCCACTCTCCACCAGCAGCCAGACGCAGACCCTGCTGTGTCACTCGATGGCTTCCTGCTGCTTGGAGAATCGAACCCAGAGGCTTCTGTCCGGACTTAGGGGGGGGGCCCACCCGGCAGTCACTCTCCCCATTGGCCAAGAAAGTCAGCACAAGCCAGATGCCCTGGGCTGGCCCAGCGTCCAAGCATCTCTTGGGCTGGGCCCCCCCCGGCCCCCCTCCGTCTCCCTCTTTGCTCCCCAGCTGGTGCCTGGCTGGGGTACTCTGTGTGGGGTTTCCCCACTGAGCCCCCAAGCACTGCGAGACCTTGGCCTCTCCCTTCTCGGGTCAGGTTTCCTAGGCCTATATTGAAGATAGTGGCAGGAAAGCGCACCCCAAGTCAGTGCCCTGCCCTGCTCTCCCGGGGGTCTCCTCCCATCCGTCACCACCTTTGCCCAGCACTGGGCAGTACCCTTCAGCGTCACCTTTGGTCTGTCTCTCCGGACCGGCTGAGAACCAAGGGACATTAACAGGCAGGCTGCTTCTAGCTGCTTCACTCACCCCGGGGGACTTCTGAGGGGCCGCAGAGCCGTGGGTGAAGGAGTGGGGGGCCGAGGAGGGGAGGTCGGAAACTGAAGTGCCTGTCTCTGCGTCTCCCCGCCCACTACAGGCTTCATCGGCTATGCCCCCAGCCTCAGCAAACTGGTGGCCGAGTGGGAGGGCCAGGACAGCGACAGTGACCAGCTCTTTTATACCAAGATCTTCTTGGACCCGGAGAAGAGGGTGAGAGGCAGTGGGTGCGCCCGGCTGCCCTGGGAACAGCCTGCCTGGGCCTGAAGGCCTGAGGGGAGCCTCCTTCCAGCTCTGAGGGCCCCTGGTTCTGTGTCCGGAGCAGCAGGCCTTAGGGGCTTGGGCACGGGCTGGCCTTCCAGGACTCCCAGAGGCCCTGGTGTGAGCTGGCAAAGCGGGTGAGGGAGGGAAGAGGCAGGCGCTCCATGCCAGGCACGCTGGGCTCCTCTGCCAGGCCCCGGCTGCAGCCTGCGCCCTCTCTCCTGCAGGGCCACATCAATATCACTCTGGATCACCGCTGCCGTATCTTCCAGAACCTAGATGGAGCCCTGGGTGAGCTGCCCCTTGGGGAGGGGACCCTGGGGGCTGGTTTGAAGGAGATGGGCTTTCCAGCTGGGCCTGAGCCCAAGGAGAACTAGGCTGGTGCCTTACCGGCCCCTGAGCTGGGAGGTCGCCTGCCCTGTCCCAGGCCCCCCGAGACCACCAGGATGTCCTGGAGCTGAACTGTGTTCTCTGGGGGATGGGGACAGGGGGCCACGACCTGCAGGACACCAAGGCAGGGGGCAGCTGCCCAGCCTGGCGGTGCTGGGCACCTTCAGTAGCCCTGGGAGCCTGCTTCTCCCCCTTTCCTGCCCTCCCACCACCCAGGTGAGACGTGGGGGGGGGTGCAGGCTGGGGAGGGGGGTGCTGAGGAGGCCACTGAGCTGGCAGGAGGCAACAGCTGGCTTGGGAAGCAGAGCCTGCTGGGCCTTGGAACCAGCTCTGGGGCCTGTCAGGTCGTAGCTGGTGGTGGTGTTGCTTTGCCACGCTCTTGCTGGGTGACCTCAAGCAAGTCTCTCTTCCAGCCACACCCACAGCTACGAGCAGGCCCATATGTATGCACACGGAGCACCTGCACACACACACACACACGTGTACAGCCGTGCTGCTCACATGCACTTCAAGCTTCATGTTTAGAAAAGAGAGGTTGGAGCAGATCACTGATGGGTGATTTTCTGGGGACCCTTTGGGAAGCTGAAAAAAGCTAAAGTTCTGTTCCCAGGAAGGAAACCTCCCACCCTCTACCTATGGTTTCTGGACGTGCGTGCGTGCACCGCAGTGAAGAGGCTGGGTCCAGACCACCTGGGCAGGCCAGGAGCTTGCATAGAGGGAGCCCACCCCCAAGGCCACCCCCCAGCACGAGCGAGCTTCCCTTCCAGCAGCTTCATGGGCTTCTGGGGAGGACAGACCCTTCTGTGGGGGCTCTCACCAGGGCTGAGCCTGCCTGGTGTATCTCAGGGCCCCTCCGAGGACAACCCCCAGACCCATTCCCCGGGGCTCCCCCGAGGATGTGTGAAGCTGGGTTGATTCCCTACTCGATGAAACAGGAAATAGCAGGGGCCTTCGATTCCATGGTGACCACGGCCAGGCAGGTGCTAAGTGTTTCTGGACACAAAATCCTCCTCCCATTCTTGTCTGCATTTGGCAGATGAGGAAACTGGGGCTCAGAGAAGGCAACTGACTAGCCCAGGGCCTCGCCCTGCTGCTGGGGAGCCAGGATATGCACCCCGCCTGGGTCTGACGCAGGTGACGCAGGTGACGCAGGACGCTGCTTTCTCGCCCCCAGATGAGGTCGTGCTCAAATTTGAAAAAGGCCATGTGAGAGCCCGGAACCTGGCTTACGACACCCTCCCCGTCCTGGTTCATGGCAATGGGCCCACCAAGGTAGGGAGGGCCCAGCCCCGGGGGGCGAGGGGAAGGGGCCAGAGCCTAGTTCTGCTTCTCCAGAGACCCCGCAGCGTCTCTTCAAGGCTGGAGCCACCACCCACGTCCCACTGGCAGCTGGCTGCCTCTGACCTTATACCTGGAGCCTTCGTCCCTTACCTGGTGGGCAGTGATGCTCGCCCCTCCTGCCAGGCCCCTGCACACACAGGGCCAGGCTTGTTTCTTATTCAGAAAGCTGAATGCTTACCCCAGGGCACGAGGCTCAGTCGTGAATGGCACAGACCAGATGGCACGGACTGGCCCGACTCTGCTGGAGCCCCAGGAGGGGTGGGGTGGCCCCCAGAGCCTGTGGGTAGGAGGAAGGGCGCGCCCTACCCCAGAGCCCCTCAGTTGCCATCTCTGAGGGGGCAAGGCCCAGAACTCTGCATTTTACAAGCTCCCTGGAGGTTCAGAGAGGAAGGAATCCCATCCCCACCCACAGCATTGTTGCTCTCCAGAGGAACAGAACATTCTCCCAAAGACCCACCCATGAGAAAGTCCCAGGGCTGCTCCTCCCCGCCCCCAGCCCCGTCCTGGCCCAGGGAGGCGTGACTGGGCGCCGGGGGTGGGGTCCACTGGTGTGGTCTGCTGGGGTCCGCTGGCGTGTGCTCAGATCCCACACCCCCGACAGCTTCAGCTGAACTACCTGGGTAACTACATCCCGCGCTTCTGGACCTTCGAGACCGGCTGCTCTGTGTGTGACGAGGGCCTGCGCAGTCTCAAGGGCATGGGGGTGAGGCTGCCGGGCCCTGGGGTCTTCTTCCCCTGGGGGGAGGGGCGGG